ATAACATGCTTTTTCTCTCAAATATATTGTTATAATCATTTGTTTCAGATGTACTGTAATTATTTTCTGTATAAAAATTAATTTGATGTTCAAAAAGTCTTTTCAAACTTGAGTCTTGAAAAAGAGGGGGTCGTCTTATAATCAGGGCCATCTTATATTCAGGCCAATACGGTATTACAGTGATTCTTTCATGTACCGTTTGAGCAAGTGGTACTGCATTTTGAGAAGCCTTGCACGATACTGGCGCACCCACACGCACACCACTGAAATCCTTTCACACATCGCACGGAAATCCATTCAAATGATAGCTACCGTCTCTTGAAAAAGAGGGGGTCGTCTTATAATCAGGGTCATCTTATATTCGGACCAATACGGTATTACAGTGATTCCTTCATGTACGGTTTGAGCAAGAGGTACCGCATTTTGAGAAGCACTACACGATTCTGGCGCACCCACACGCACACCACTGAAATCCTTTAACACATCTCACGGAAATCCATTCAAATGATAGCTACCGTTGACCGAGATATACGTTTTAGTCGTTTGAGAAATATGTCAGGAGTGAGTATGAGAGCCTTCGAAAATGTTTGCGTCCGAGGTACTCCTGACTTCTGTTCGTGACGGCCCCATAGAAGGATGCCAGCCAAGAACTCCCAAGTGCGCAAACTTGATGTAGCACTGAGCTAAGACTGCAGATTGGCTAGGGAAGTGTGAAAAATCAGTCATTGCCTTGGCTGCGGGCAGCTCCCCTGCGGCGTAACTGCTGACACTTGATAGTGAGAGTGGGTGGACCCTCAGGAGCTGACGCCTACTTTCATTTGATGTTAAAACAAAGCCACCTCCTCACACAGTGATGTTTCTCTTTGGCCACAACGGCGGAGCGGCTCTTCGCTTCCGCTGTTCCGGTTCAGAGGATAACCTTGAGTCAAATCATCCGCTCGGTATTGCACTTTAGAGCATTAGAGCAACATTTTTTCTTTTGAAGTGAAATATCTCAAAAATCACCCGGCTGGCACAGATAATATATGCAAATGGATTTGCTCAAAATGTTCCACATTATGGTCCAAAGAGGATACAGTATATCCTCTTAGTTGCCTGATTTTTTATTTTTTATTTTTTTTGCTGGTATGACGGAAACTTTTGAGAGTAATGCTGTATTAGCAGGGCAATCATGGAAATATGACAAATAGGAGAAACATGGAATTTATGCTCATTGGCATGCGGGGGCAGCGTGTTAAAAAAATAAATGACAGCTAGAAAGCGCTCCGTCTCATATTAAATACACATGAGGGTGAAACTGAAGCAATATCAACACATGTGCCCTTTCACTCCAGTTTGTTACAGACTCTTCATTGAACCGAACGTGCATGTGTTTTGGGATGTGGGAGGGATCCGGATCCGAGATTCAGCAGACCCACTTCTCTGCCTCTGCAGACCATAATTTCAACCGTTTGTGAATCAGGTGGAATTCTGGGAGGTTGGCCTCCCCCTCAAAACCCCAAAGTGTGTTATTTTCTCTGTTTCTTTCCACCAGCCTTCGTTTCCTCTCTCTCTCTCTCTCTCTCTCTCTCTCTCTCTCTCTCTCTCTCTGTCTCTCTCTCTCTCTTTTTCTCACTTCTTTCCACTCCCATAAAGTCAAGAAGAGTCCAGATGAGGACTATTTGCCGAGACTGATGGCTTCCTAGCAGCAAAGGCAAACACAAGTAAGTCGAATTCGTATTTTGGAGAGCATCCTTTTAATACCAGTAGCCATGTTAATTTTCAAAGTGTAAGTTGGCTTGCATTGTATGAAGACACTGTGTGTGCACCAAGTTGCATCATGCAGGATAACACGTGAGAGGAAGTCGGCTCACAGGAGGCCAGGCCAGCTCATCCAATCGTTACATTGGAAAATCGTATCTTCTTTTTGTTTCTCTGCAGTGATTTCAGAGATAGAACTAATAACATTGGTCAACAGCAAATTGGAAGCAGAGATGGCTTGATATGTCCGCAAACATCATTTTGACACTGATTTCAAGAATGTCTTTTATGTTGGGGTTTGTTTTGTTTTTTTTTTTCCATCATGAGATTTTCATTTTCATGTCATGGTTTGTTTTACCCATCAAAGGTTGTGCAATACGGATTTTATAATGAATTGTAATTTATTAGCTATGGTGTTTCTGGAAACAAAAAATAACCCACCTGTTGCTGAACCTAAACCTTAATTTATAAATATTACAAAGTACATTACTATATTGCATATTATTATCATTATTATTATTATTATTATTATTATTATTATTTTTAAAACTTGATGTGCTAGAGAAAAATGTGTGAACAAATTCAGAATCAATGCAAAAAATAAAAATAATATCAAAAGAAGTTTACTGGCATCTCTGATTTTTAAAAAATGTAAAAAATTGTTGACCAATGCAATTGAAATGTGTTCTTAAAGTGGTATTTAGCAAATGAAAGAAGGTTGCCCAGAGAACTGTGGATTTTGAGCTTTTTTTTCCACATTCCTTTCATTAAAATCTTTTAAGTATTTTTAAAATCACTTTTTTTGTCATTTTAAAAAGCTACTTTTAATTTCCTTCCTTCTTTTACTTGTAAATGTGTTTAAATGTTGTCAGTGTATATTCTTTTAGTCATTTGAAAAAGCTTTTCTCTATGCTTGTATGTGCTGCGCCTTTGATTGTATGAAGCACATTGAGTTGCCTTGTGTAGGAAATGTGCTCATTCAATAAAGTAGTAGTTGTTGGCTGCCCTAAATGTTGTTTGCATGGATTTTCTCCACATATTTCTGGGTTGCTGCAGGTGTGCAGCCGCCCGGGAAGCGACAATAGTCATGGCGGTGAAAGAGAACGCACGCCGTGTTGTTTTCATCCTGCTGGCTGCCGCCATACGTTGTCAAGTTAACCCAGGTAGATATTTATGCACGCATGTGTGTGCGTGTGTGTGTGTTTGTGTGTGTGTGCGTCCTTAAGAGAAATTTGCAAGAGGTACATTTCAGCAGTGGCAGGTTGACAAGTTGTAAAAGTAATAGGTGAGCTTACATTCTTATGTGATCAAACCACCCAGTGTAGATGAGGCTCGTGTGAGGTGGAAATAACTTTTTCATATCGAGATATAATGGCAGGAGGGATAAAGAAAGCAATATCAGGTGGGTGGGCTTAAAGTGGAGACGAGTGTGTGCGTGTGTGTGGTTTACCCGATGGAAGACGGCAAATAACACCCAAACAGTCAGACCTTTCACAAGCGGTTTTTAGGCGTAGTCGTGGGCAGCACACAGACGCTCCCCACTTTGAATACTTTCACAGCATAAGGTGGATTTGTCCCGCCGCTCAAATTAAACAGACGTTTGAGTGGGGAAATGGACAGCTTGCCTTAATTATCAGGTAGGAACCAGCAGTAGCGCAGGTACAGAACGGCGAGGCTGCGTTCTGATTTTGTTCCAATTAAAATTAAAAACTTGACATTACAAGTTTCAACATGTGCCTTACGTGGATGTGGTGGAACTCTGGAAAAAGGAAACCAACAGTGAAGAGCAAGCGCCCTAAGACTGGCACTTAACACAGTGACGCCTCTGTTTCGCTCGAGAGGCCTTGCAGGGCTACAGGAAGGGAAAACACACACGCACACGGGCACACAGTCACACACACAACTCACCTCCGCACTTCACTTGTAAATACGTAGACTGTATATACAAATCCATATGGTATGCGAATGTATTCATGTATCAAGGATGCCTTGTGTGTTTGTAGAAATGTGTCGCTATCCTCTTGGTATGACCGGTGGGCAGATTCAGGATGAGGACATTTCCGCTTCCAGTCAGTGGTCTGAGTCAACTGCTGCAAAATTCGGGAGGCACGTTCTTGTTTATTTTATCGAAGTGTCATTTTTCAATCCTGAAAGCCACCTTGTATCCGTAGCCACCGTAGTCTTGGAAGGCTGGCTTTTGTGTCCGTCCTTTTTGTTATTTGTCTTTCTCAAACCGATCGTCTTTTCTCTGCGACAGACTTGATTTTGACAACGGGGACGGAGATGGCGCCTGGTGCCCCGACGTTTTATCCGAATCTGACGGCCATAAAGAATATCTGCAGGTGGACCTACGATCGCTGCATTTCATTACGTTGGTGGGCACACAAGGGCGCCACGCTGACGGCATGGGGAATGAATTTGCCCAGCGATACAGGATCAACTACAGCCGTGATGGCAGCAAATGGGTGGGCTGGAGTAATCGGAAAGGCCACCAGGTGAGCGCCCCATTTTTCATAAGGGGGCAAGTCTAGTTTAGCGTGTTTGGGAATTTAGCCTTACTGGGCGTTACACTGGACTGAGAGCATTTTTTTATCACACACCCTCGGAGCACCTGACAATTTGGTGACAGAAAGCAGACTACAGTTTAACCCCAATAAAAGCAGGCCCAAGTTGTGGCTTAGGTGGTGTAATGTGATTTTGGTGGTCTTGATCCAGGCACATGCAGACAGATTCTGTACTCCGCTCTGTGTTGTGGATGTCATTCTATTTGAGGGGTGTCAAACTCCTTTTTGTCGCAGGCCACATTGTAGTTACTGTTTGCCTTGGAGGGCCGTTATGAATTTGGGAAACCATATACATGTTTAATCACCTCCACATATTACATGCACAGCGCACCACAAATTGATGAATAACTAATTTTAAAATCAGAAGTCAAGAATAATGACTGTTATGGTGGATTACATATGACAATTTGGAATTTTGGTTCAGACTTTAGCAAGCATTTTGGAATTTGACATGCTTGATTTGCTTTTGCGGGCCACATAAAATGATGTGGTGGGCCATGTCTGGCCCCCAGGCCTTGAGTTTGACACCTGTGCTTTATTTCATTCATTAATATGACATCACACTGATCAAACTTTCTGAATCACGGCAGCATTTAATTCAAAGATAAAGTAAAGATGATTACAACAACAATAATGCATTCAATGAATGCATTATTTTCATTTTAATCATCTTTACTATATTGCTAAAACGATGGAAGAATCAAAGTGCTCACTTTGAAGCTAACTTCACATGATCCGCAAGTGGAGATCTTGCTGTTCCTTATAAACGTACTTTGCGTGCACCGATCTCCTGCACGGACTCCAACGAGTCTGTTATGCTAGATCCAGACCAAACATGAGCTATCACGTCGTCCCGCATGTCTCAAATGCTTTGGTTTGTGCCGCAAATACTTTGTACACGGGGGTTGCTCTTAGCGGAGAAGAGAAAAGGCTTCTTCTTCCCCACCACGTAGACCGCACGCCTTTCCTGCGCTGAATTTAATGGGAATGACGGAAGCCTTTTCAATTGGCCAGGAATCAAGTCAACTGTGGTCACTCCCACAACGGCACAAACTCCCATTTCGAACTGCGCTTGTCTACGAAAATACCCAAAGAAACAAAACTCTGCCTATGCACACAGTTGCGCTGCACTTTGCATTCGACTTGCGCTGGGCACAAAACAAAAAAAAAAAGGGTTCTATGTCTGGACAAAAACAAGTCAAGAGCATCAGACGAGACCTCACCAATCCACTGAGACAATATTTCAGAAAACCTATTCAATATTATTTGAAGAGAGGTATACTTTGGTAAGTGTCAATAATGCTGAGGAAGTCATTTCCACCTACGCTGTGTTCAGTCTTAATCTGCCTGTCCTCCACTAGGTCATTGAGGGAAACAGGAACGCATACGATGTGGTGCTGAAGGATCTGGAGCCTCCTATTATCGCTCGATATGTGCGCTTCATGCCAGTGACTGACAACTCTTTGATTGTGTGCATGAGAGTTGAGCTCTACGGCTGCGAATGGCTTGGTTAGTCAGAAGCTTTTCACTCGCCAGTGTCAGTTTGACATTTTGATGAATCCAGCTGATGAATTGCCAAGCGTTACACTATCTCTGTTTTGCTTTTAGATGGTCTGATGTCTTACAGCATCCCAGTGGGGCACCAAATGGTCCATCGAGGACTGGATGTCTACTTGAATGACTCTGTGTATGACGGAGCATCAGCTGAGAAGTGAGGACATTCCACACACGTCACATGGACAAAAGTCTTGAGCTACCACTCGTAATGCGCCATTATTTTTTTTTTACATATATATATATATATATATATATATGCCCAAGATAATTTCCATTTGGGTCAGCATGGGTAAGAGCCAAAAAGCCACAAGACAAAGTATCACACTAATGTTCACACCTGCCGGATATTGAGTAAGAAAGCATGTTTGTCGGATGAAGTGTGGAGAAAACCACTATCTCATGGGCCTGCCCAACATTTCACATTTAAAATAAAATAAAAACAGAAATCAGTTGAGTGTGAAGGCCGGGAAATAATGGTGGCCACATAAATTATTGAAGCTAACAAGTCACATGACACCCGGCAGGGAAAATGACTAATTGAACATTTTCACACAAGGGCTTACTCACTTCTGTTGCAAATGATTCTGATGAAATGATATCATAAAATATTTACAGAAATGTGAGGAGTTGACTCTCCTGTGGTGAGATATTGCATGTATGTTTACATATTTTTTTCCTGACTAGAATGACGAAGGGTCTGGGCCAGCTGACCGATGGAACTTGGGGTCTGGATGATTTTCTCCATAGTCGCATGTATGGTATGTGGCCGGGGTACGACTACGTGGGATGGAGCAACCGGAGCTCCCCCAAAGGTTACGTGGAAATGACTTTTGAGTTCGACCACATCCGAAATTTCACCTCAGTGAAGGTAACAAGACAAAATGTAGAAATTAAAGTTTGAAAGAAACAAAAAAAAACTGCTTTAGCTTCATATTTCCTAGTTGTCATCCGCAGGTTCACTGTAACAATATGTTCAGTCGAGGGGTCCGGATGTTCAGGCAGGCCACTTGTTATTTCCGGTCGGGCTCAAACTGGGAATCCGACCCGGTGACCTTCAGGCCACCTGTCGACTCCGTGAGCCAAAGTGCCCGTTTTGTCACCGTGCCCCTCGGGGACCATACCGCCATCGCCATCAAATGCCGCTTTCACTTCAATGACCTCTGGATGCTGTTCAGCGAAGTCGCTTTCCAATCAGGTGCATTCAGTGTTTCTTTCCTTTCGTATTTGATTTTGCCAATATTTATCTTTATCTTCTCCCTTGTTTTTCCCCACTGTCAGGCTCAGCGGTGTACAACACATCTTTGACTCCTCGAAAACATGGACACCCAACAAATGGGCTGCCAGGTTAGGTTTGGTTAGCTCACTGACTTCTAAAGAAGGCCCAGCAGACAATAGATGTTTACTGACTGGATGTATTACGTGTGTTGACAAAATTCTACAGTTCAGTGCTTCAATAGAATTGGTGCAAAACATCTCGATCTGGTCCACCATGATCGATTCAATCCTCAAGGGCAGTTAATTGAATAAAGAAGCTGAAACGGGTTACCTCGTTTTCTGTGTATGCAGACAGTGCCCCCTGCTGGTAGCTTTTCAGATTAAACCTTAACCGTGAATCGAGTTGTGTTCAAGTCATTTAAATCTCATTTCCCATCCGATGTAGGGGATGATCCAACTCACAAAGTGGATGACAGCAATACAAGGATCCTGATTGGCTGCTTGGTGGCTATTATCGCTATCCTTTTGACCATCATAGTTATCATCTTGTGGCGGCAGGTGTGGCAAAAAATGCTTGAAAAGGTGCGAAAACGGTCATTTGAGTGCAATCATTTTCCATGTATGCATTTGCCAATAGCTAAAAGTGGCAACTATTACCTGTTTTAATGCTAAAGGCATCACGGCGAATTCTGGATGAGGAACTCACAGCCCGTCTCGCGCTTCAGACTCGGGCCTTTTCCTTCCAGCGCTCTTCTCTCTCCTCTTCTCTCTCCACCTCCAACTCCACCTATGAGAGGATCTTCCCCCTTTGCTCCGACTACCAGGAGCCGTCCCGCCTCATCCGGAGACTACCCGAGTTTGCACATTTCCCGGAACACCTGGGTGAGGTCACACACGGTTGCTTGAGGAATCAAAATCTTCCAGGAAATTATCGGAAGGTGGCGAATGTTAAAAATATTCCAGATTGGAAAATTTCCATGGGAATTTCTGGGAATTGAGGGACAATTTAATTGAAAGGTACACTTTTAAAACTGCTGAGTTAGAAGTACCCAAGCTGGGTGAAATCGCTTGCCCAGCGTTGGGTCCAAAAGGGACCAACCCAATGCTGGGTTATTTCGACCCAGCACATTGGGTTATAATGATGATGTAAAGCTACCAAGAAATGATTTTTCAGGGATAGCTGTGGTTAAAAATACTTATTTTCTGAGCAACATTTTCTCGGAAGAACAATTAACTTTCTTCTGCCAGCAAATCACCTCCATGATATGCTTGACAGTTTCCACAGCTGATGCCCTTCCTGACGGGACCAACCCAGAACCATCCAAGTGTCCAAATTCGACAACAAAATGGTCCAAAAAATGCGTCCAGCTTCAGCTCTTTAGCCCACCTAAATCCAGCCTTTACCCCAGTCTGCTGGGTCAAAAGATTTAACCCGACTTTTGGTAAAAATAACCCAATCTGCTCAAAATCCACAGCTACCAAGTGAATGAGTGAAGAAAACAACTCAGGGTTTTTGAGTGTGTATCCCATTTAAGCATAGATATACTGTAAACATTTTGTTTTGTCTGAAAAAAGCAGAAAAGAAACTATTAATGTTGAGGTAAACATGACCCACCTGTCAACCCAAAGCTTTACAGAGTGACAAAATCTCTACTCAAAAACACCAACAAAGTCCCCTTCAAAATTTTAAACGGAAAGATCCAATGAAGTTCTTTCTCTACCCTTTTGGGCAATGGTTGTGAGTCAAGTTGTTTTAATCAGGATTATAAAATAATATAATTTCCTCACTTCTAATAAAGTTCTGTTGTAAGAGCCAACCTTTAATTTTGTAAATATTTTTTTCCTGCCCCCCCTCCACAAAATGACAATTTATTTGCAAACATTCCTACGACTTCAAATGGAAATTCTCCAACTTTGGAAAATTCCCAAAAGTTTGCAACCTTCGTCACTGAATCCATTCTGCTTTTCTCAACCTGCCCCCACCATAATGACGCCTTTGCATGTGTCTTCCGCATTAGGACCAAGCAGCTCCTACAGGACTCTTGCAGCCGGTGGTTCGGATGGCGCCCCCCACTATGCAGAGGCCGACATCATCAGCCTGCAGGGGTCCGACAGCAACGGCCACTCTGTCACAGCTGTCAGCCTCAATATCTTGGCTGGCGCAGATTCATCCATGAGAGAGTTTCCCAGAGACAAACTCACGTTCAAAGAGAAACTGGGAGAGGGACAGTTTGGAGAGGTGCGTTTGCGCATCTGTGCCGCTTTGTGTTTGGAAATGCAGCGACATTCAGAATGTTTTTTTTTTTTTTTTTTAGGT